TCTCATTGCCTCTTATTACATCTGTCTAATGGTTCTCTGAAATGTGAAGAGCTTCAGAAGTGATACGGATATGTTTAGCCATGTGTTTGTTTCTCCTGAATTTCCTAAGCCATTTTATTTGTTGTTTGTTTGTTTTTTGAGACAGAATCTTGCTCTGTCACCCATGCTGGAGTGCAGTGGCGTGATCTTGGCCCACTGCAACCTCCGCCTCCCGGGTTCAATCGATTCTCCTGCCTCAGCCACCCGAGTAGCTGGGATTACAGGCGCCCCCCACCACCTGGCTAATTTTTGTATTTTTAGTAGAGATGGGGTTTCACCATGTTGGTGAGGCTGGTCTCGAACTCCTGACCTCAAGTGATCTGCCCACCTTGGCCTCCCAAAGTGCTGGGATTACAGGCATGAGTCACCGCGCCTGGCCCGTAAGCCATTTTTGAAGAAAGGACCTGCCCTAGCTTTATGACTTAAGACCACCGCTGTGTATCTGAAGCTGCCCCTCTGACTGGGCAGCTTTCTCCTGAACATGGTGAGGAATGCTGAGTTACATGGTCCAGTAACTGAGTGGACATCCTGAGCCTCCACATCCCACCGACTGCCATGCAGGGATAAGTCCATGCACCTGTGGATGGCAGTGGTTGAGCTGGTTCTCTATAGAAGTATCTAGTGCCTAGACCTTTGTTCACACATGCATGTAAATTTACTGGGAAAACTCTAGAGACCAATGTTCTTTCTTTCACAAAAATCTGGCCTAGCAGTCTATTTTTAAATTGCTCTTTGTGTGTAAGACACATCTGTTTGTTTACTCCACTCTGCACTGATTTTTAGGCAAATCTATTAGGACAGAACCACCATTTTCTTTCCTTCCCTTTGAATCATCTTTTAAAGCAGCAGAGGCAAATGTTGGCAGAGGTCCACATTGGAAAGCTAGTGCATCACGACTGGTGTTGGTAAATGAACTAGTGATGGGATTGGGGCAGCTGGGCTTTGGGGCAGAGTTGAAGCCGGTGCTGTAAGAGGCACTGCTCCTGTGCATGGCAGAGGTTTCAGGGAAAACTGCAGCTCTCTGATGAATGTTTTGCCCATGCTCTATGATTTTATCCAATGCAGTTCTTCTTTTATATTGAAGATTCTTGTTTTTATATCTAGGAATGTATCAGCCTTTCCAGTTTAAACAAAAACAAAAACAAAAACAAAACGGTTATTTTGGGAGTTTTATAAAACAGTCTTGTGATTTATCATGCTTTCTGTCATCATTAAATTATAAGGTTAGTTTTCAAAACCATAGCCACAATTTTAGGAGCAAATTTTAACACTATAATAAGCATTTGCTTTTTTATTTTGGAGACTGAGTCTTACTTAACTGGGCTGGAGTGCAGTGGCATAATCTCGGCCCACTGCAGCCTCCACCTCCAGGTTCAAGCGATTCTCCTTGCCTCAGCCTCCTGAA